TTTGATCAAGCTGAAAAAAAACGAGTTGAATTAATGAATTTAAAGAAACTTGGTCCTAAAGTAATTGAAAAACATCCAAAAGCGATCTATACAAGTAGAGCATTAAGTTCTTTAATTTCTAGGTCCTTAAATTTGTCTGCGAATTCCTTTAATGGTGCACTAGGTACTTATAATAATTAATATGAATTAACTTAAATATTGTGATTGATAATACTGATAATACCATAATAATTATTTTAGATAATAAATTTGAGACTTTGATTCAAGAATCAAGAAATGAAGGTGAAAGCTAGCTTTTATATTTGGGATTTAAAATCTTTAATTCTTTACTTCAATTCAAGAATATTTTATTCGAGTATTCGTATTAATAGGAAATTTAACGTTACAATATAATGAGATTTTAATGAATTATGTATTAATTTTTATTTATTAACTTCAGAGTATATTTCAAAAGAATATGAGTTTGATATGGATACTCGGAGGTATTTATAATTGCAAAAAAAAAATTTCTCTTTTAAAATAAATTACTCATTGAATATTAAAATAATATTTTTTTTTTAATAATTTTAGCTTACTTACAATGAATGCTCAACCTCCAAATTCAATAACAACACCAAATACTTCAAAAAAGCGAAAGAATAAAGAAATAGAAGCTCAAACCCAAAATTATCGTAAGTAATAAATTTTTATATTTATAATTAAATATTGTTTAAATTAACATCACTTTCCAAAATATTTAGAAAAGCAAATTAAAACTTCTAGCGAATCCAAGACTTCTTTAAATTTTGTATTTAATTGATAATTCTATCTTATGATTTATTCAAAGCATTATACTTTTTACTATATAATTATATTTATTACATAAAGTTTATTATTATTTTTATTTTTGTATTTAGAATACTGTAATAAATTTATATTGTAACCATAAATAAATTTGGTTTCAATTGTATTGAAGTATAATTTATTATTCGATAGGATTCATATTTGATAATTTATGGACGCTTAATTATATAGTTTATTTTTTATTATTACAACATATTTCATCTAATTAAATTTATTTATTTTATATAAGATATATTTATTGTTTGAAAATTATTATTCATCGTATAAATGATGATAATTTTCAGACGAAATTTTTATTTCAAAGATTTAATTAAAATTAGTAATTTACCCAACCCATATACTATTAATAAATAGATGTTCCTTATATATTGAAGTAATTGAGACGATAATTAATCATATTCTAACAATCAGAAAAGGAATTAAAGAATTGAGGTTTAGGGAAATAAAGAAAACCGTGAGTAATCATTGTAAGTAAATTAAATGCTTCTTACTATTTGGCTATTTGTTAGACTATTATTGCGTCACGTACTTATAGTCTTCTAATTAGGAGTAGTAAATTCCTTGTCTAATATTTACACTTACTTTATTTGACTTGTTTATCCTATTCCCAATTCATTAGGTAATAACATATTCATTGGATATAAATTTTCACAAAACGGTTTCTTAAAAATATACTAGCTAAAGTAAGTAAAGAATTTAAACAAATTCTTTAATGTTATATATTTTATGGATATTGTGTGGTGTGTTATTTATATTGGTTAACGTCACTTCGTTACGTTAACCAATGTAAATAATTACCGACAAGATATTAGTTGCTATCTTAAGTTATCATACGGCTAAAGCAGACCATGCTTAAAAGCTCTGAGATTTATTTCTAGATAATATTTTGTTGGTTTGTCATATGTATAGTAATGATTTTTTTTAATTATATTATAAAAAAATATAGGTCAAACAAACTCAGCATGATCCTATGGGGGACTTCTTGTTATTCATATTATTCTAATCACTTGCGCGTAATCGCATGTGATTATTATATAACCCATGCATAAACCCAGTTATCCGTAACTTCATATGGAATAACAGGAATATAGTTTAATCATCTTATTTATTTATAGAATTTACATAAAATGGGTTGACGTATAGTAATGTAATGCTAAGTCTCGAATATCGTTATCAGTTACTCATGTTTTACTGTTTTATGAAGAACGCGTCATATGTTTTATATTGGAGTGAGAAGTACGTGTCATTATGTGAACAAAGTAATAAAACTGTTGTTTTGTCTTTGTCTATTTTATCTATTTTGTATACATATATAACACAGATATTCCAGATTTCATTAGATATCCGAATATCCGGATTGAACGGGTAATATCCTACGGATATCCATAACGGATCCAAACTCTGAGAATTAGAAAAAAAATATAGAGAGCAATTAAATCGGATAACTTCCGTCGGAGAAAATAGCTATCTGTTATGGCATTATATCAAATTTGAAACAGCGACTAGTCACGGCTCAATCATTTGAAATTCCGGATTCGACTCCTCTTAGCAATTTCATAGTTGATCAGCCTTCTCAAACGGCTGGTTTCACCACATCATATCCTCGCACGTATATAATATTTTTCACATGCCTCTTGTTTCATCCAGAATTAGAATTTAAAAAATTTCACAAAAAAAAAAATTTGGGAATTCCATATTTTGGTAAGCTATATCATTTTGAATTAATCAGAATTTTATTGATGGTTCGGTAACTTGAAAAGAACAGTTGAGGAAAACCGCAATAATTTCGTCATGAAATTGAAATATAATAAAGTATACTGAGCTACACACAAAGTTATCCTATTTATAAATGATATAATGTAACTTTGATGAAATGAATCAAACATAATTTGACGACTTAAAAGTTGTGGATTCTCTACTCTTTACATAAAGTAATCTCACTTATTTCCTCGCTCTCAGATTATACCGTCTTGTACCTGTCTCTGCATTCGATTCTAACGTTTCCGTTTCCTTTGTCTTCTCAACAACTTTCTTCCCTTTTCTACCACGAGATGTTTTCTTTGCTACTTGTACCTCTTCAACGGCTGCATTTTCAACAATTTCTTGTGTATTAGGAATATCTATTAATTCTACCGCTTCCGAAGTATTGCCTTCAGGTTCTTCTACTTCCATTGTATCAGCTTGAGTATCTCTCTCTCGATCTTTTCTGTTTCTACCTTTTTTGGTAAGATTTGCTTTTTTCTTCTCAAATTTAACCTTTTTGATATCTTGAATATTCTCTTGAGGCGTTTCGCCATCATTTCTTGATTCTTGCGTATTGTCGGTAATTTCACTTAACATCTCCTCAAAAAGAATATTTCTTTCAAGAAGCCATTGTTTTGGTCGATAATGAATATGTAATGCAGCCAATGGATTCGCATATTCATTTTTTTCAATATCATTGGTATTGAAAAGATAGACAGATATAGCACCATATCCTAATCTGTCCTGACCTTCCATCTTCTTTTCATCATTTGAAGCGTTTTCATTATCGTTCATAGTATATTCTTTATCAATGCGCATGGCATTATCATCATCTTGTACATCATTCTCTTTTTCAATCCTTTTGTCATCATTCTCTTCCCATTTGGAAAGGTCAAAGGTTAAGGGAGTTTTCTTTCTTTTCGAACTATTAAACCCAACTTTTTTCAATTTGTTAGGTTTATTGATTAATCTCCAGGAATGATCCCATTGACCATCAACGTAAATCTTTGCTTTAAAGGAAACGATAGCAGGTTGAGCAGGTTGCGATTGTTCTTGTGCAGCAAAAAGTTCTTTGCTAGCTCCAAATTGTATTTCATAAGTTTTATCGACTTGATTAATCACCGCGTAAAATGTACGATCACTAGATTTTACGAAAATTTATAATTAGAAAAAAATTTTTATTCTAAAAAAAAAATACTGTTTTTCTTTCGATAAAATTTACGCGAAAACAATAAACTAATATCAACCTTTCGATCCTTTCGTTGGTATTTTGATCGAACACGTATGAAACACCTGTTTTAATCTAATAATACAAAAATCATTATCAATATACATAAAAATTATACACTTTTAAAATTCAAAAGACTTTAAACCTTGATACTAACAGTACTTTTATCGGCAGGTTCACTACACTCTTTAAGTGGCTTACCACCCACCAATAATTCTACTGAGAATCCTCCAAATTTCATTTTTATTTATTTTGTTTTTGTTTTTATTCGTGAAGAAAAAGAAATTTATGTTTTTAGTTTATCAGACAGATGCTTATTTTATCTTTATATATTGTAAATAGTCATACGTCATAACTTATGTGGTACAATTTTTTTTTTAAAATCATCATTTACGGATTTTTTTTAATCCAATCCAATACATTATGCAAGGTGATTCACTTTAGATAAAATAATAATGGAAGCTCTATTGGCATGGAACAATTAGATCGTAACCTATTTTGACATCTTAATTTTCAAAAAAAAAAAAATTCATAGGATTCGCAAGGAATTGATGAGAGCGAGGCCAAAACTTTGTTTTAATATACAAAACGATGAGAATTTGAGATTTTCGATATTTATTCATCTATTCGGACAAATATTGAACGTGCTAGTATTCGTCGACTATACGGCTTCCTTCTCATCTTCTACATCGAATTCTTGGTAACTGCTTTAATCGACTAATTACAATCAATTATTTATAATAAAGAATCATTTCTCTTTGAGGTGAGGAAAAGGACTTTAATAATGATCATAGTACCGCAAAATTTCATATTTTTACGCGAAATTATAATTGATAGTTTTGTTTATTCATTAAGCGAAGAAGGAATATTTTATTAAAATTTGAATTTTTATGTAAGGTGATTTACGAATATATTTAATTTTTTAATTTGATCTGAAGATAACATTTATGGTTGAAAGAGACCTCTTTATTCTTATGATAAACAGGATCAAGAATCAATTACATATGGATATATTTTATGTAATGGATGAAACAAAGAAAGTTGTTTTTTCGCTTCGTAATTATTTAGTTTTGATCCATGTAATTTCTTTTTTATAAATTTAGTAAAGTACAAAAATAAAACTATTCTTTTATCAACAAAAGTACATAAAATATTAAATTTGTAATTTAAATTGTAATTGTGTTTCTATTTAAAAGCTAGCTCTAATATTAAATTTTAATAGAAATTCAATTTTAAAACTAAATTTAATTGACTTTAAAGGAATTCTGTTAGTACTCGCGGGCATGATAAGCTTGCCCATTTGTCATCAGCTCTAATGATAACGGTGTAGAATGGAGTGGGATTTTTCGAGTAGTTGAATCATCGAATAAGAAAAGATGCATAATGTTGGTAATCTTGACGTCGATAGAGAATAATTCCTTGTGTCGCCCAAAAAATTAATAAATTAATGTTAGCAAAAAAAAAAATAGGAAGAACGTTTTGGGTATTACCATTGATGGCACGAAAAATTATAACAATTTCACAGAAAACAAGCTACTCCGAGATTGATGGGAATTTAACGGACGACAGAAAAACCCGAAGAAAAAAATTTTTTTTTTTTGTCACTCCAGTCATTCTGATGCGTGATGAATAAATATATGACACAGTAATCATTCCATACCATTGTTGAAATTAAGCGAAATTTCCTAATTTTTAATTTTTTCACTGATCTTTTTTCTTCCGCATTCACCGGAATTTCATCGACATAATTTACGAGAAAATAAGAAACGTGGTAGCGATCACCTGATTTAGTTGACAAATATAACAGATGATTGGTCATATTTGACCGATTTATCATATTTATCATATTTGTTAATTAAATTTGTTATATTTGATAGATTTATTTTATTATTTATTTCATTATATTTATTATATTTGATAGATTTATTTTATTATTTATTTCATTATATTTATTATATTAGTCATATACTATTAGTTTATTTTATATAAATAGCATGTATATGCATTTTTCCTTGAGTTAAAAGATAACTCGAGATAGGGTTTTGTGTATAAACCAAGAGTTCAATAAAGATATTTGTTATTCATTTACTATTACCTTTTGCCGTGTCTTCATATAGGCGTGATTGTGATAAAGTTATTGTGATTAATTCGAAGGACTGAATTATATCGTCTAAGTTATATTTCCAGCTTAACGTCTATGGTACCGAATTTTTCCTAACTAAATTTAGGAATTCTTAATTCTGAATTTCAATAGCTTTGATAATATTCTCACCTTTAATTGTGATCGAAGCAATAACGTCAATAAATCATCATAATGCTCCTCTTTTATTAATTCCACAAGTCAATGAATATATATGTTTTCTTATTAAAATTAGGTTTCAACGTAGTTAATATCGTGATTTGTCTCCACCAACAAGTTTGACTCTGAAAAATTTGGCTCTTCACAAGGCATATTATATCAGTGTAATAAACTTGTGAAGAACAGTCTCGGTTTAGGTGGGAAAAAGAGTACTTACATTAAATTTATGGAACTTACCAAAAAGCTTAGTGACACCATAAAAGCATAAATTTATTGAATAGACCAAAAGTTTCATTTCATGATGCCCACTTTTCTTTCCTCCATTGTTATAATCAAGCAATAAATCGAACTATTTAACGCAAATAATAATGAAATTTTTTGTTAAAAAAATTGGTTTAATACGGATTAAAACTATACTACGAATGTAAGTGGCTTTGCTGCATTCGGTTAAAAAATTTATCTTTGCTAATAATTTAATAATTTTATTTCTCTTATTTTCACCAGCCGCGGGGGGACTTCTATTAGAATGCCTTTTCGAGTATACTGATACAACTTTTTACCCTTACCATATTTATTATATAATTAATTTATGACAATTTATTTACGAGCATCGTCCAAATCTCCATCCTCCTCTTCTTTTTCTATTCATTCCTTTACTTCTTTCCTCAATTTGGCAATTATTTCAACATTAATTTTTCCTTCTTTAAAACCTTCCTCAATTGTCTTGTTATAAGCGTTAAGAACTTTAATTTGTTCATCAGTTTTTTTCTCTTTCGCTAGGGAGAGTTCCAAATCAAACTTAAATCATAAAAAATTGTAAACATTTTAAAAGCAATCATATCATTTTGTATTAACGTCTCGCCAAAGCACAACTAACTATACTAATCAGTTTGTAAAATTCTCAAATAGTAATTCTAGTATTGATTTATAGACGAGACGTTCGGAATCATTTCCTGGTTTTGTGCTCTTAGGCATAAAAGAAGATAATAGATGATGAGTTTAAGTGATGTTTAAAAAATGAAACGTGTTTTATTCGTACCATTGTAGTTTGTAATTCATCTGATTAGTTCATTCTCCAATGGCTTCACCATTTGCAAATGTGAAGCAACATTATTACATTTATTTGCATCATTTTCCTCTAGGTTCACGATTATCGTAGTTTAATATATATGTGACATCTTGAAACCAGCGTTGTGCCATTCAAATATGAGCACAATCATATTTCTTGTCTTTTTAGAGCAAAATACAATTCAAGCAAATACTTAACATACATATGTGATAATTACAACTCATGAATTACACGATTGTATTGCGGAAGTCAAGATACTGTATATCGGAGAAGGTGGAATTTTTGGAAGAAGAAGAGGTAAGGTCTAATAGAAGATTTATAAGTATTTAACAAGAGAATATTTAACAATATATTTTTAAAATAAATGTAAATAAATTATCAAAAAAAAAAAAAAAAAAAAAGGTTCTCGGTATTTATACCGCATTTTGTTCTTCCCTTCGCGATTAGGTTTGTTATATTCGGAATAATTTTTTTTTATTTATATTTATAATAAAATTTGAACATATTAAAAAATATTTTGCTCGAAAGATATTTCACCATCCGATCACATGAATAATACGATTTAAAAGATTCAGAAATTAAATAAAAATAACTTCTTATGAGTATTGTCGTTGTGGGGATAGTGCGTGAGATTTCTTAGCTAGCGTTTCTCAGGTACGAATCCAAAATATTGAGTGTCTGTTTGATGACGAGTTTCTATATCGAGTTTATAGTTGCAACGTTGTTAGCCGGAGGGCTGGAAATAAAACTTAGACGATATAATTCAGTCCTTCGAATTAATCACAATAACTTTATCACAATCACGCCTGTA